TACTTTATCTTCCTATCTTGAATTTTTATCTTCCTACTTATGGTATTATTATTAATTATTCGTTGAGAAAGCCGCTTTGGACACATCTCACACATCCTTGCGAGAGTAAATTTTGAATAATTGCAAACTTAGATACATGTTCAAGCACTTTATTTTCAAATCGTATGTTGTAGTTTAGCTCAATTCAATCAAGCTTGTATATCCTAACAATACATGCTCAGTAACACTTGAAATTTGAAGAGTTAAATTTTTAAGTAAATAGCACATATATCCCTCAAATTATGATCTTTATGTTAATTGAGTCCTTTAACTTTTTTTTTTTATGGCAATTGAGTCATTCAACTCTCTAATTGTGCTAATTAAGCTCTTATGTCTGCCTCTGATAGATTTATTAACAGAAAGTAATGAAGTGTGCTACTAATGTGACACAAATGGTTGGAGTAAACTATACATATGTAGCCCTCAAATTGTGTAAGTTATTACCAAAATAATGCACTTTTAAAACAAAAATATCATTTTACTGCACTTTTAAACTTATTTATTGATTTATGGCCGTTTTTAAAAGTGGAATTGTTGATTCCATTTTTAAAAATTGTAGTAGATCGGTAAATAAGTTTAAAAGTGCGGTAGATCGGTATATTTGTTTGAAAAGTGTTGTATTTTGGTAATACATTCTCAAACTATAACTCTTGTGTCAATTAACTACCTAATTTTTTTTTTGTGTTAATTGAGATTTTTATATTTTTGTGTCATATAGGCACATGAGTGGCATATTCTAACGGAGGTAGACAAAAGGATTTAGTTAACCTACTTAGAAAGTTCAGAAATTTAATTGACACAAAAAAAAATAATTAGGATTTAATTGACATAAAAATTATAGTTTGAAGACTATATGTGCAGTCGAACTTGGAGCGAACCAAAGTCCAAACCAGTTGGATTCAACATCTCTGCTTTCACTTGAAAAATTCATGCACCCCTCAAAATTATTAAGACACAGTTACCTCCCCGGGAGAGGGGGGGGGGGGGGGGGGCTCTTAACGACGCAACACAATCTTTCGATCCTCTCCCACATGGATCTATGGCACTGTTGTGGCCATCTCTGCCTGAGACAAGCCAATGCCTTCTGCAGTACAATAATGTTGGCTCACTTCTTAATATCCCAACAGTTTCGGTTCCATACCTCTACTGTAATTTCATTGTTGCAAGTTTGGTCAAACTATAATACCAAAAAATTAATTGTTTCTCGATACGATATTTCCTATTTTCTACTAATGAGAGTATGACCCATTTAAAGTATTCAATGTTTTATTATTTCCAAGATCAATAACACAAAATCTAAGCTTAACATCCAGTTTTTGGTAGTCTTGCCCCTCAGTTTCTTTCCATGTCAGAAAAAAGGGCACCTTTCATTCAATGATAAAAAAATCCAACTTCTTTCTAATACATAGACCTCAAACAAACAAAAAATGAAAGCTTGTAAGATCTTCGTTCAGTGGATCTACTTGAGAGAAGGTTCTGAGATTTTGTCAGAGTTTGAACTAAGCAAAAAACCATGGCATATATATAATATAGATTCTGAAAACAGTAAGTCAATCATAACCTTGGAGAAAGAGTTAATGGGTGTGCATACTGCTTTCTTGAATCTTGATAATGTGCATTTGTCCATTCTTCTTCCAAGTTATATTATATATATAGATTTTCCTTTCTTGTAGAGGGAATTGACATGTCGGGTTTTCAAATGGTTCATTGAACCATCACACACTTTTCTCCTTTCTATGGGCATAGGATGGGAAACCATTCTTCTTCGCTTGTGGAGAGGCCTGGGATGGGGGATTTATGTCAATTGTTACACTAACACTTTCCCTTGATTGACTCCATCTGTTCCAAACATTCCTTTTCTAACTTCAAAAAAAGGAAAAATATGATGTTATGTTCATGTATTTGGTTCTCTTGGGGAACTTCCACCGGCACAACTCTTCTTATACAACAGAGGTGTTGTTTCTCAAAATAACGTCATTTTGAAAACATCTCCTACTGTACAACAGAGGAGCTAGACCTGAACTCCCATCTTTCAAATTCCTCATTCTGGCCTCTCGATTGTTGTGTTCAATTGCTGGAAGGTGTAAAGGATGGCTATTTGGCTAATTATTGCAAAATTAAATACGATACATTAGGGAAATTTTTATGGCATAAAATGCTCAAGAAGGAAGTTAGTTATTCGATATCCCATTGATACTTACACCCCCTAGAAAGAAAAGGATAATGTTATTTTTTGACCCATGTTTATTGATTTTAAATTAAAATTTACTCACTATGTGTCACATTATTTAGTTTTTTTTTATTATTTTTTTAATCATTGTGCACAACAAACTGGACCAAATCAAAGAATTAAAAGTCTACTTCCAATTTTTTATTACTTCTACCATACATAGCAATATAGGAAGAGAAGTCAAATTAAATGTCATTGCAACAAAATAACACCGCCCTTGTAAAATATCTCGAACAAATTCATATCTAGAGTATTATTTTTCCACATTTATTCTATATTATTGACACAGTACCGAGCTATTAACATTGAGGACACCTCTAACAAACAATACACGTCACTCTAATTAACAATATACGCAACTCTTTTGAAGAAAGAGAAGTCAAATGAGATTGATACGGCGAACACACACAGAGGGGCCCAATAAATGGATAAATAAAACCATAGGTAGTAAATGGTGTCAAAGGGGTAAAAATGTCTTAAGATTTTGGAGACAAATTAAACTTCAATGAATAGTTCAAGTGATAACAGAAACGAACTGTAAATTCAAAAATTCTGAATTTGAAAATATCTTAATTTCGACGTGAATCACATACTGTTGACCAAATTAAAAAAAAATAAAAATTAATCGAAATGCACATAAACTAAATCATACCCTCATCGTTCAACTAAAAAACAAATTGTCTACACAAAATGGGTTGACCTTAGAGTGGGATGTTGATAAGATCAGCTGATCTTACTTCTATAGGTTTGAATTGCCTAGAGAGATCATTATGTTCATAATTAGATGTCAAGGGATAATTGGGTACTTAATATTGTTTCTCTTTTCCAGATAGAACAAAACAAGTTAGTTATTTGGTAAATAAAAAGGAGGAGGGGGGGTTTGGTAGTAAACAATTTTTAATCATAATATACATTGAATCATAGTCTTGGTTGTGTTCTAAGTGAACATTGGGCTTATAACGTGCTTGGTCAATCTCATGCACGTTATGTACCTACTACTTATATGAGAAAATATTAAATATAATAGCGGTAACAACTATCCAAACGTAGTGTCACCGATATACTTATTCTACTTCAAAAATCCGAGACTATTGTTATTATTTCCAACTTTATTATTAGAAAATGTTCTCTAACAACTTCTTTATTATGTCTTCCCATAACAAATATGCTAAAATGTGGAAATACTTAAATCGCAACACGAGATTTTTTTTTTTACTACCGAAAAAAATGGGATAAGAGCAAAAGAGAACACCAAAAAACTATCCCGATTGACCTTCACGGTAGAATCATAAAACACCTGACCGTGTCTGTTACACTTTTCGAGAACGAACCTAAGTTAACATAACAATTTTCAATGTGAGAAATTTGATCGATATCTCACTGAACCGCCCCGTCCCGTTCGGTGGTTGAATTTGGAAGGTTGTGACAGCCGTTTAAGATGTTTATGGAGTAAGATCCAACAATTCAACTTACAAACAGTATTTTTACGATCAATCGTTATATATGAATTAAATTAAGATTAATAATTATAAATTATTTTTAATATAATATTAATTAATCACTTTTTCCGGTATGATAACTCTATTTATCGAGTATTTTAATTCCAAATACGAATGGAGGAAATCAATCAAAATGACAAAACTTCACAACCTGCAGAGAGGTAAGGGAAGGTGAAGGCCGAAGGGTCACTGTAGGGAGGAGAAAAATATTGAGTGTCTGTAGCAGAGCATTTTAAGCCTCTAAGCCTGTTGTCACAAGGAGACAAATTGAATCTCTCATGTATTATCAATTCTCATTATCAACATCAATGAATTCGCCATTTTCGAGATGAAGTAGACCATACCAAACATACAAAAGTCCAAAACATGGGTCCTTCTCTCTCTCCTTCACTCCTCGTTTTTCTCTCCTCTGTGGAAACAAAAGAAAAAATGACGGAAAGATGTTTTTTACTGTTCCGGCGCTTGTCCCCACTTTACCCAGTTCGCTGACCACTAAAGACACCATTTCACCCAAGCTTTTTTTAAACTCAAAGATACCATGTCCCACCCACCACATACAAATCCAAATCAGAACACACCAAACAATGGGATAATGAAATAAGGATTGGATTTAAGCAAGCCTTATTTGTAATTTTTTTATAAACATGTAATTTGACTAATTTTTTTTAATTCAATTAAAAAAAATCATTAACGACCGAATTAAAATATTTATGAAAAAAAATAAATTCATTATAACTTAATTCCAAAAAATTACTAAAATTCAAATTCTAAACCTCAAGACAGTGCAAAACTCATTCTGGTTGCCACCCAAACAAGGAATTTTATTTGTAATCTTTAAGATGCATAGTAAATGCCATATTAATCACCAAGGAAAGGCACCATCAAGAAGTCACAGTGATTATGATTATACATGTACATACAAAGTCCTGAATCTTCTTTCATTTTCACAGAAAAAGATCAGCTTTACAGACATGGAGCAAGTTTTCAGCTACCACTCACCAGTCATTATCTCTCATATTTGACCCTACCCTACCCTACACTACACCCTCTCTCTCTCCCTGGATTTTTTTTTTTTTTGTTTCTGAATATTTTACAAAGAACAAAGCTAGAGTGATAATTGATAACTCATTTCTTAGTAATTGCCACGGTTGAATCTCTCATATCAAAGAAAGACCGAAAAGATCACAACATAGTAGTAGTGCTTTTTCCACTTTGAGCACTTTTCCGGCTTTCTATGGTACTCTCAAATGCAACCCAAGTCTTCTCTTTCCCTTCCCCAGAAGATGAATTTTTTGACAAACCCCACATTTCTCATGCGATGGATCGCTGACTGAACGCGATAAAATCGACGATTCTGAATCTAAAAACCACCAAAAGAAATATAAAATTTGTTAAGAGTATAATGGAGAAATAATGTGGGCGGTCCTAGCAACCTCTCAAACTCAGAGTTTTATAGAGAAGAAATCACATGTTTAAGCCTTCAAAGATCAAAAAATATAGTGATTCAATTGTTTAAACGTACCTCTGGAAGCATTGAATGATCTCTTGCAGTGCAGAATGGCGCTTTGGATTCCATCCTGTTGCTGCAACAACGAATCGTCACGTCGTTTTGACGAAATCGGCCCCGATGGAGCAGCTGCTACCGCCGATGAAGACGATCGGCTCTTTCCTAAATGCTTACGCACCACCCGAAGCCCTGCCGGCAAGTTCCCCTGCTTCTGATTCTTCACAATACTCGTCGGATCCGCCACTTCTGTAACTTCCGAGTCGCATTTCGGTGCCGGAGGCGATTTCTCCGCTGCCGTGGCTTTTGTCACCCCGGATAAGCTTAATTGCCCCGAGAATCTCAGTTTGTCACCGTATCGCTTCGAAACGCGAACGTAAAGAGGCTTAACCATTTTTAAGTACTTTTGCACTACATCTTTCGAAAATCGCTTGTCATCTGAAGCTGTTTCCTCCAAGTTCTGCTTCTGCGCTTTGTTATTAGCACCTTTTGAGCTACTATCTCTGGTAAACAGAGACATAATCGGAACTTCTTCCACCTTAAACTTCACCGTGAAGAACTTGCTGTTCGTTTGGTTTTGCTTTTCTTGCTGATTTTCCAATTTTTGACTCTCTTGTGGTTTAGAACTCTCTGAAACAGATCCATTACCTTGTGTTTTTTCAGGTGCATTCGGTTTCGATTTCTTCAACTTCAACATTAGGAAAGAAACTCGTATTTTCGTAGCCGATCTTAACAAGGACGCAGG